TAAAGTGGCCTATCGGGTTCAATTTACAAGTTTACAAGCAAGAAGCAAAAGTCTGCAGTGAACATGAACTTTCATTGAGTGTATGCAGGAGAGGTAGTGAACGAGGTAACTGGCTTACAAGCATAAGTGTGAGCTTATGACATATACAAAGTTCTATCTACAAGCTGCTAAAAAGAACATTGAACACCACTTGTTGCAATATGACACCTCTAATAAGTGCTACAATGTATTCATGATAATTATGTCCATTAAAATACAAATGACAACTAGCAATGACAAAAGCATAATTACTCATGTCATGAGCCATTAAGCGACATGAAGAATAATCAATAGTATGCGCAATGAATTGTCTAGAGATAGATGATAAGAGACATGTGATGAATGTGATAATTTGCTAGCCATCATACACAATGCAGTAGGTCTACAAGAAAAACAAGAGGAATGTGAAGGATATACCCTCCTTTCAACCAATGCTGGCTAATTTGCAAATAAATACACAATATTCTATCTACAAGCAATCATGACTAATATAGTCTATTGGAAAATAACCACTGAAATACTATGAATATGAAAGAGCACAAACAAAATGTGGATGAAATTATAATAACAAATGAAAACGTCTACAAGTTGTGTGGTAAGGGACAATGAATATCGTAAGATCCCACAAACAACATTGGCTAAAATACAGATGAATGCATCAGTCTTTTACGACACAAGGTCAATGTACAACAAGTGTAATGATGCTTTGTGGCCGGCTTTAAAACACAGGCGGATACATTCAGCTCTAAAATCAACAAATCCAAAGTTGATGATATTCTTCATAGAGATCATGCGAGAAGAAGTAGTAGTCCCTATTGCATTCATCTGGGAATATTGATGAAGGGGGGTTATAGATGTCATAAAACACTACAGCTTGGCCACAAGTAGCTGTAGAAAGATTATCACGCATACAACAGTCCACCTGTGGATAATGACGAACATAGGGAAATTTTTGTATGTAAAGCCTTTAACTTACAGGTTCACAATTAACACATCTACCTGCCCGCAAGCAACAATAGTAGTTGTATAACAAAGATTGGGGATCATTGCAAAGACATAAAGAACAAGAGAAAGTGACGACAGGATATATGCCGCAAATATCATAGATTCTTTAGGCATGTGGAACTCGTGCGAGGTTATTTGCAAGCAGAGACGAAGATGCACGACACATACGAGTTCTCTACGAATACAGATGTACACACTATATGTCACCTGTAGTAATAGCAGATGTACTGGAAAGACTAAAGACTGCAGCAAATGCATAAGGAATGCAACAAAATGCAAACACACCTACATTCTCTTGTGAGAGACTCGTCATACATGCTAGAAATCATCCATGAGTAAAATGCAAAAGGATTACAGCAAAAGAAAGTTCCTACGAGTCGCTGTAGGAACGTTGTATGTACAATACACTATCTACAAGTAAATACAAAAGAATTACAGTGGATGCAAATATCTACAAGCAATAACAGGAGATTCATTAACGCTTATGTTGCATTGATACACCTATTTATGAAGGTGTGATGTATCTGATACATCGATACACGGATATACGACACCGATACATGTCGGATACATGTATCGGATATTATTTAATTTCAAAAGGGCATACGTATCTGATACCCGTGTCCATCGAAAAACAAAAAAAAAACAAAAAAAGGACCCGTCATATTTACTTACGCGGATGCGAGCGAGGTTCTCTCATTTCCGAGATGGATTCGAGTCTCTTGATGACATGGTAATATTAGAAATTGTTAATCTTTCACTTGATGAGCCTGAATTAGAAGCTATGATATTTATTGAAGATGATATATAAGTTCAAAGACAAACCACTGAAGAAGCTAATCATATCATTCCTTTTATTGAATAGTTGAAACTTCATGTGCTAGACAATTTATGTTTATGCTTTTGTTGTTGTACTAGACATTTAATGCTTGCTTTTATTTTGATATTATAAGCTACAAGGCTATAAATGATGTTACTTTCATTTTTTTTTTGTAATTTCAAATATTATGCTTTGATTGATTTCTTAATTTTTATGTATGATTTATAAATTATAATGTCGTGTCCGCATCGTACCCTTATCCTGTATTTTTAAGAATTAACGTGTAGCGTATTTGTATCGTGTCGTATCCAAGTAGCCGTATCCGTATCAGTGCAACAAAGGTCAGCACACAAACAAATTACCCACAAAAAGCAACAAGCAGTGCACGACAGTCTACCTGTACAAAACAAGTAGATAATCAGTGCAACACCACGCCACCGAATCTGCAACACTTATACAAGCAGATATAAAGCGTCTACGAGATTCTACATAGAGTAAGGGCACACCCGTATGCTGATCATTCGCACAGTTGATTAGCACTAAATGTTCCTAAAAATGCCCCCACACGTACACTACAAATGTATACAAAAACACAAAATGCATGTGCAATTGTATAACAGCATGGGTCCCCGGTGAGTCTGATATGGGTACACATGTGACATCTAGGCATGCTACGCGAGTCAATAAGTAAATTTAAGTTCGAACCCGAGCATGATATATGGGTCAATAGAAGTCGACACGATTTGAACTACCAAACAAATATACGGTCATGGCGTCGACTGAAATATTTGTTTGAATACATTCATGTTAGGCCTTCAAGGCCTGTAACCAAGAAATTCATCAACAAAAATATAAAGCCTACAATGAACCCGATCCTTTGTCGATAGGTAGACAAAGTCGACAAGAATCGACCCATAAATGAGATTCTCATAAGTAACCCGATGATGGCCGTGTTGAATGCAAATCTCAACCGGAGGAGTCAATTCTAAATATTCAAAATTCCACCCAAATATCCACAAAATTTAAGACTCCAAAAGTTCCAAAACTCAAAATATTTAAAATCGAAATTAATCGTCAACCACTTAAAGCAAAACTCATGCACCCTCCGCAACAGTTTGTCAAGGTGGACAAATTTGAAAATATATTTCATCTCACAAAGAGCTAATGTCCGGTCGAGAATATCAGTATGATTCATTCTCAAATCATCTCCTATCAGTAAGGATGTGGCACGTATCCTCTAACTAGTGATTTTACCAGCAAATGACACCGCATGTAAATGGTTCTGATTGAGGCCCTCTAAACATAATGGTTTACCGCCAAATGGCACCACTAAATTATGGTTATGGCTAGAGCCTGCATGCTCCCCAATGGCTTCAAATCCTTGAAATATGAATCAATAGGGTATAATCGATAGGGTACAAAGCCCTCAGTCAGCTAAGGTGAATTCAAATTTGTTCCCTTAGACAAACATTCACCCTAGGTCTACATGTTACCCTTAGACGAAGCAACCCATGGCTGCCGACAAGGATCCTTCTGTCAGGTTGGGTCGACTACCTCCTCTGACTAAGTAGACCACAGGCCATGATATCCCGGGAAGATGGAACCATGGGTTCTTGATCGGGTCCATCATCCATTCCCCCACCATCTGCTTTAAGTACAAGATGGTGAAATTTTTATTTTAAATATTAACCCTTCAAAAATTCCAACCCATGTTGTTACTATATGTCAAATATGTATTCTCTACGTATTTGATTGATGACTAGCCTTAATCGAAAGTTCTCTCTAATTATTGGGAGGGGTAATTAACTATAGGGGCTTGCGCCCTATGATGCACCGACACTTCTCCTCAAAGAGGCGTGCAGTGTCCGACACCGTGTCCGACACGACACTCATCCGACACTCCTCCGACACGTGTCGGACACGCCGAAAAATTGTCCGATCAAAAAAATATTAAAAACAAATTAGACACGCGTGTCGGACACGCATATCTTAAATATTTTATAATTTTTTTAAAAGTAATTTCTTATATTTGGCGAGATTTAAACTAAATTTCTTATTTCATATCCACAACACCAAATCAACGTCCGCATTTAATACCCATTCATTAAATATTCTCATTTTCATTTCTCTTTGGCAGTGAAGGTATTTTCATCTCCTCTCTTTTTGCACAAGTACAAATATTTCTTTTGTTGAACCAGAGTTGAAAGTAGTGATATTCAATGATGATGATATTGAAGGTCAAAAACAAACTTCTAAAACTAATCCTAGTTGTTGAAGCTTAAATGCTTGATGTTGTAGTAAGTGATTATTTGCTTATATTTTTGTAGTTGTACTAGATATTTTGTACTAAATATTTTATATTATAAGCTAGATAAGTTATCATGTCATTCATTTATTATTGTTTGTCATTTTTAATATGATATTACATTAATATATACACTATATAAAAAAATATATTGCCGTGTCTACGTATTTGATTGATGACTACCATAAAGCATGTCATGACGTGCTTACAACCTGTGTGGCAAGACATAACCTATATGGTGAATCCGGGTTTGTGGGACTTGCACTGTAAGACACGTTTGTCATGACGCGGTTACAGCTTGAGACAAGGCATGATTGTGTGTCCCAACAGATAACCTACAGCAAGGCATAGACTGTGGTGACCTCTACCATACAACATTTTATGGTACGCTTATAACATGAGTGGAAAGGCATGATTTGCATGATGAGACAAGATATGTAGGACATGGATCCTAAGACATGTAATGACTTGTTTGTAGCCTATGGAAGGCATGAATTATGTTTCCTCATAGGCTAATGAAATGAAGATAACTTGTGTTTGTGTTCTGCAGCATAATGAAAGGGGATGCTTAGACAATAACTTTGATATGTTGGAAATGAATGACATTGAAACTGTGTGAATGACAACTCCTTATGATTGTGTTGTTGACTCTATCATTTGACTATATTATTATTAACCTTGGTTTGATTATGTTAGGCTAATAGTTTATGTCCTGCTTTAAATATATTTAGTGTTTTACCCCTAAGTTATTCCAAAGCTACTCCATGAACATTGTCCCAGGGTTTTCTAAATAACAAATAATCATAGGACAATCGGTTTTTTGAATTTTACCGCAAGAAATGATGTATCATTCCATATGGCTCTTTCCAACTTTCTTTTTGCCTTGCTGCTCAGAAAAATTGGCTTTGTGCGTAATGTCTCCAACAGATTCAAATCCATCAAAACTTTGTTGGTCCCGGAAGAATCGGGATTGTAGCGGGCACGTAACGAACCCTTAAGGTCATAAACTCTTGATACATTCCTTCCATAAAAGAGGTTCTCCATCACCATCAAGTCCATCTTCACTTCCTTTCCACCTTTTAAGTGCTTAACAGTCACCTATGAAACGAAACCAATGAAAAAATTATACAATCTGGCACTAGTAATAGGGTAAGTTTAATAAATGAGATATCGTACCTGATAAATGCCAAGGACTTTTGCAAGGCACGTGGGACTTCCAGAATTGATATACTCTGTCAAATAGTTGAAGTACTGCGGAGCAAAGTCTTCAAAAGAATCCAACTCTGTTCTTGTTACTTGTTTAATGATGAATCTCTCATCCAGTGACTTCGCAAAATACACATTACTTTTCCCACCTTGTGCATTCCATTTCTTGCAGCGGCTCAGAGAACGAATAAAATCCAGATCATTTGGACAGCATTTCTTCCTTAGTGCATCAAATTGCTTTGCAAAATAGCATGTAACAGAGAATTTTACTCCATTGCCTTTTATTGAATAGTCATCATCGAAAGAAAATTTAAAATGAAGATTTTTGGGATCTGTAATTCTACTCCCATGAAGTGACTTAGATTCATCTAATCCATAGTTCCAAGGCTGGGTACCATCAGCTTGAAACTGAGAAACTGATGAGCTAGCAAAACCAGCATTTATCTTGTAGTCCTCAGAGCTTATCTCATAATGTACAGGTTTACAGCTTGTGAAATTGGCATGTTCTTGCGAACTAATTACATAGGATATAATGCTTGTTGGCTCATTGTCATAAAGTGCAATTACTATATCAATCTGGCCTACTTGAGGTACTAGCAATCGAGCCACTTCACCTGCTATTCGAGAAACTGATGAGATAAAGACAGGTTTATGATTGGAAAGAAAATTCAATCTCTTGATAGATGAAGGAGATCTTCGGATAAATCCCTGATGAGTGCTTGGGATTGAAACCATGCCACTAGAAGCTCTGGAGCCATCAAAAGATTTGACTGAAGGCAAATGCAATGAAAGAGGAGATAATCCTCGATGGAGTCTGTTCCGCAATCTCAAAGCAGAATCAAAAGAATTGACCCTAACTGGAGACATCAACTTATTGTAGTGCAGACTGTTCATCTGACTAATTTGTCCAACCAAGTCAGCTTTTTCATTGCTGGGAAGCTGATCATTAAGTGATTGGCTTGAGCCAGTCCATGCTAAATCAATTCTATCAGACAGGTTAGATGCAGGTGGCTTTAAACACTTGGAACAAAATGTATCGCTACATCGATCATAGCCTCTTTGTTCTACATCCCCTCTATAACATTGACCAGAGATCAAATTGAAACCTGCAGCACCAACATAGCCTTCAACGGTCTCAACTGACAAGTCCATCTCAACCAAGTTACTTGTATTGCATTCCAAAATCTGCATGCTGAACTCTTCATGTTGCTTTGTACAGCAGTTCTCTGAGAAGATGAGTGACCTCGCATTGCATTCCACTGATGAACCTAACAGTCCCCCCTTACAAACAGGTTCACTCATGAGTTCTGTCTTGATGCAACGAACAAATTCTTCCGGAACTTGGGGACGCACCTTTGCATTAGAAGTTTTAGAATTGGAAAACGAGTCTAGGAGACAGAGACGACGATCCCACATTACAGAGTCAATTAAGAGTCTGAGTTTCAACCGATTTAGTTCTAAGATATCAAGAAACCCTGGAGAAATCTGATCATTCTCCACAGATGCTGGTTTGAGAAAGACCTGTTCAATATGAAAAAGGCAGCTTATGTTCAGCACCACATTTTAACACAAAAATCAGACTGTTTGGGAACTCTAATGACCAGCCAAGAGTCACAAACAAATAATTAACTTACATCAAACTCAGTTCTATCTATTTGCAGGACATCCTTCAGCTCTAAAATATGCTTGTGTAAAATTTCTTTTATGGGCTCACTATCACATCTTGAAATCTTCAGCTCAATTTTCTCAAGGGCATTAAAAACCTCCAAATGCAAGGAGTCCAAACTTGAAAGTATCTGTTGGGAAACTAGTCAATAAACCCTTGAATATATGATGCTTAAAACTATTTAGGAAAAAATGCAGTAAAAATCAAATAGCATACCAGATTTGCCTCGCCTCTCAGCCATTCTTGCATAGTGTGACCAGAAAAATCAAGCACCAGAGGTGGCAAGTAAACAGAAAGAATGTCTACATGTGAATAGCGAAAGAAAGCAACCATATTGCCAAACCTGTCAAAGAAAATAATCAGAATCATGCTTTTATAAAAAAAATTCAATGTTCGCAGAAACCATTTCTAAAGAGAATACCCATAGAAGCGAAGGCAATCTTTTTGCAGAGAATGACCACAACTTGCCAAACGGTTTGCAGTTGCATGGTTTGAAAAGCTAAGCTCCAAAAATTTCCCAAAAGATAGACCCCAAGCCGCATCAGACAGGACTACCCTATGTGTGGAAGGTGGGATTTCATCTCTGCGTTCACACTTGAGACACCTGTGCCACATCCATATCTTTCCATCTCGTTCACCAGGCAACTTCATTGAAGTCAGTCGCTTAACACTTATTGTGAGGCTCCCTTGCTGGTGAGTATAACAACGAATATGAGCCTCAGCTGGTTCATTGCAAGAGCCACAGCTGGAAGTCTGCGAAGAAGGGAAGGAAATCATGTTGATGTTGAACATGACAGGCACGTAAATATATTGATGTTGTGAACACACGGTTTTACCTGATTAAACAAATCCTCATGGAGATACCTTCCTAATGGTTTATCAAAACTACCATAGAACTTGATACGGAAGAGTTGAGAGCGTTCGCACACTGTTCCTTTAGGAATGCATGTACTTGATAAAGAAACTAAGATGCTCTGGCTGTCAGCTGTAGAAAAGTACTCTTCAGTAACCTCAAGGTTATCATTTCTGTCGGAATGTTCAGCAGCTATCAAGTGCTTATAAGTAGATATACTACTTTTATCTCTTACTGGACTATCATCTCCTACTATTAAATTATGACTGCTAGGTTCTTTACATAGGCCTCCACTTCGAGTGCTCTCATTCTCAACTAGAATATTACCAGAGAACTTATGGTTAAGTGAACAACTATGATCATTTTGCTCAGCAGCAATGTTGAGGATGCACTCATCTTTATATGAAACATCTGAGCACAAAAATGGGCTTTGCATGCCATTCTTGCTATATATAACAATTTTTTCATGTTTTTCAGCATCTGGTTGTGTTATGCTGGACCCAGCTGACCTTGAGGCCTTAGTTGCAGCAGCATCAGCATTCATTATATCCTCTGAAATAGAGCAAGGAACCTTGATGGGAAGTTTAGGAAGTGTGGCACCCTCATCTGCAAGAAATGAGGTCTCAAGCGATAGATGATAGGCTGCAAAGATTGCCAATGAAATAACACGCTTAACATTTTTCAGTTCCTCCAGACAAGCGCCTCTTAGAATAATCTACATGTATCATAGACTAGAATCAGATATTGATATTTATAACGGAAAATATATAAGTTTATAGATCAGTGAAAGTAACATGTAACTAACCATGTCAAAACGTTGCCTGATCATATTCATTAATTAAGTCAATTGGTGACTTGGGTAATTTGGCATGAATACCTACATTTAGAAGGAAAATACCTAAACAGAGATATTAAACGGAGGCCTTCCAATGACCCGGTTATGAAAGTTGAGGTATTAGATTTGACTTATGTTAAGAAAGATAGAGGTAAACCTAAAAAGACTTGGTTAGAAAATACTAGAACTGATCTTGCTTTATTAGATTTAAATGAGAATTTGACTTTTAACAAGACAATGGTGAAAAAGGATTCATGTAGCCGATCCAACGTAGTGGGACAAAGGCTTGATGTTGTTGTAGAGATATTTGTGTTCTACTCCCACCTCCAATCAGACTACTGACCATTTGACCAAAGGATTGACAAGTTCTTTTTAAAAAAAGTGAATAAAAAGCTCAATTGGTTTAATGTGTACAAATCAGCCTGAGATGAAGTATTAAAGATGTTGGAGTTTCTTCGTATATTATGAAAGAAATTATTCCTATCGACAATATTTGATGGGCTAATTACTAGCGGGTAATTCCAAAGAGCAATTGCAGTTGGCAAGCAGCCAAATATGGCATGGTAGCTATAGAAATAATGGGAAAGCGTCCCCTTGGCCCTCGGATTAATGGCATCGCTACCGATAGTCCCCAAATTATTGACTTGGAGCTTAAAGCCTATGCTGATTTACGGATTTTTAATGTAATTTCTGTTATAGTATTTTTTTTCTTCTCTCACATGGGCTTGGCTTATTTTCTTATGCTTTTTACCAATTATAAAACTCTATAAATAGCGCTAGTTTAGGCCAAATAAGCACACTGAAGTATTCCAATTTCCTTCCTCACAATTTCTCTTCTATTTATTTCGCACAATGCATAAGTATATTCACTTTAAATATGGTTCACCAAACAAAATCACTAAATATAAAACTATACAATTACCAGGGGAAATGGTTCAATACAAAGCTAGTTTTCTAATAACAAAAGAGATATGAATTCCCCAAAATTGCAAACACAATACATGCTAAAATAACACAAGCAACTATTTCTCATACAAACATGATCACAGTAGATTTAGCACCAATTAAATCTTGAAAGATGGAAAGAAGAAAGAAAGTAGAATTACCGTACAGCCCAAACGCCTAGGACAGCCTTCAAAATACATCAATGTCTTCACAGATCTTTTGCTTGGATGAATACCTAATGCACATTCTTCAACAACCTTCTCAACTCGAAATACCTCACATTGTCCCAATTGTGCTGAAGCAACATAATCAATTGATGGAACTAGCTGAGCACCAGTACAACGAGATATTCTCTCCAAAATTGACCTCTTAACATTCAACACTAACGATATTTCCTTAGCCAAAAGATACTCCTGTGCATAAGAAGATACACTTTTCTCAACTAAAAGTACATTAGTCCGATGAGCCTCAATCTTGGCAACAGCCATCTTCAGGTGATCACTCTCCTGTGTGATTGAATCATCAGAATATAGATGAAATGTGGGATTTAGGCTTCGTTTGGGATGGCTTTCTTTCTACTTCTTAAAGCAGCTTCCTAGTACAAAATTAAAAAATTTTGTACTAGAAAGCTGCTTTAAAAAACAGAAAGAAAGCCGTCCCAAACAAAGCCTTAGAAGAAAAAGTAGTTAGAGGGTACGGGATAAAACCTTTTCCATTACAGTATTTATAGATGCCAACTTATTACAAACTCTTTGGTACTCCAGTGCTCCACCCAAAAGCAAAATCCTTGGATTTTTGTGTTGTGAAACCATGCGCTTGTGTTTCACATTTTTTGTACAAACTATCCCCTTAATAAGAGAGCTGAAAAAAAAAATAACAATCATTCTATTATACCAATAAAAAGAGTTTAAGATGTCAAAATTATTTAAGGAAATTGGCAAAACAATACCTATCATAGGGAGTTCCAGATGATACACACTTCACCTTCACATAATGACCAGGATCCATGCTTCCACCTTTACTAGTGTCTGGTTTAACAAATCTTGCAGCCTGCCATGCCAAAGAAGAAATAATCTCCAACCAACTCCCTGTACCACTTGCATTGCTAACCTGAATCTTTTCATCTTTAAGTAACTGCAACACCAACGCTGTGAAATGCCTACGTACAGCATTTCCTAAATGCTCTTTATTGGGATCATTGAACTTCTCTCTGGTTGGAAAAGCATCACCAGCAAAGCTATTTGACAAAAAATCCACAGTTGAGCCTTCAACATCATCATCCTCATCATTATATTCAAAAAAACCATTTTCCACGTCATCATTCTCATCTTCAGGAGGGGGAGGATACCAAATACGCGCATTATTTTCAAAATCGAATGTTTGTTGATCCCCCTGGTTAACATGACAACGGTATGGCGAAAGATTATCATCCGCATAGTAACTTTCCTCAATTTCAGTCCCAATTTTCCTGGAGTAAACTGGCTCTTCTTGACTTAAATTGATAACCTTAGACCCAGGGCTATCACCATTATCATCAGGTCTACTAGGACTATCCCAAGGACTAGAATTCACAGACTTGAAGCTACATAACTCTTGACTACAACTAATACTAATGGAATCTACATCAGAAATGTCCTGAGAGAACTCACTATTGGGACTAACAAAACGCTTCCCGCTGTCATCCCCATCCTCTTCATCATCACTCCTGCACAAATATAACCATTTAAAGCAAATTAACTAAGTGATCTAGTAGTCTTTGTTTGAATTGAAAGAAAGTGAAGGAAAAGAAGTAAAATTCCAATAGTTTATAAAGCAATTATAAATTTGCAATCATTGATTTAAGCTTATAAACCCTTATTCATTTCCTTTTACTCAATATCCTAGCATTCAAACAAAACAAAAGTGGTTGCTTGCTAGGAAGATTTAATCACGATTTAGGCAAATCCTGCCAAACAAATGTTTGGGAACATTAAATCCTACCACAGAGTTTAATCCTATTTTTTTCTACTATTTACGATTTAATGTGACTTAGTTATCATAGAGAATAGTAATGTGAACTTTTAGTTTATTTATATAATAGTTATAGGAAATTAATGGTTTTCTTGATTAGATGTTATTTCATATAGTAACTTATTCATAGGAGTCGTGAAATCTATTGAGCCATCTTTAGTTTACGTAGGCTCTTTGTTTTTTTCAAGTTTAGCACAATCATCTTGTTGAGATGTTATCTCCAACATGAGACCTCTTACAATCTAAAAATAGGTTTGCTTATCCAGAGTTGTATTTTCAGTTTGGATCATTTTGAATCTTGTTTTATGAGATATGATTTCTTAAATCTTAAATCCTGAAACAAATAACCAAGCAATTTATCAAGATTTTAGCCAGATTAAACGATCGTCATGCCAATCATAATCTACTAAATACAAATTTGCAAGATATACTAAATCATACTTGAATTATATCCTACTTGTAGACAAACAGCCCCTTAGTTTAAAAAATAAGAGCAAACGCAAGCAAGAAAGCTACAAACCTATAAGTGGAGCATCTGAGATGAGTTGAAGAAGATAACTGCTGCAGGTCAGCCGGATGGGCAAGCCTGTTATGGCCAAATCCTCTTGTAGGTGAGGCAAGAGACTTAAGTACGGAATCATGGAGCTGCAGTCTCTCCTCATAGTCCTGTGGCTCTGATAACAAGTTGCCACAACTGTGAGAGCGGTGGCTAGCCGGAAACAAACGGCATTCATGGCAACTGGCTCGATCACCCAAGTTCGACATCCAAGTCTTGCAGACCGGACAAACAGAGGACTCCCAAATCCAAGCACTCACTTTCGCCAAGAGGTCAAGCAACGGGCAAAGAACTATTCCCACAAGCAGGAGGACCGCTCCCAATCATAAAACGAACCCAGCAGTTCCTCCGACTATGCAAACTCTCCTTCACTAAAAACGAAGAGACCTATATCAAACACGAACTGAACACTTGAAGAGGAACTGTCAGCGTAAACTTCACTAATCGGTAAAGAGAAAAAACCCTCGGTGTCCTCCAAGGTAAAAAAAAATAGGAAGGTGACCAAGCGAAAATTCCTGATGAACTCCAGAAAAAGTTCACAACCCTCTTGAGAAGCCAAAATACCTCGAGAGAGCGGATCTTATTTATTATACGATGAAATAAAACGAACCAAGTTGCCAAAGTTCTATCTTTCGCCAATTTCCACCCCGCAAGCAGACGAATCAAAGAAGTTCAACCGATCCCCGACTGCTCCCTGACCATAAAGGCTGCAAAACTTGAAATATAAAGGACTGAAATACACGACGCATGGGAGACTAGATGACCGCGAGGATGAGAAGAAGAATGAGTGGGAGAAGGAGTAGCTTGGTTCCGTTTCTTGAGGAAGAGGAGAGCGAGGTGAAAGACTGGATCTCGAACGTAGCAGACACTCCCATCTTTTTTGCTGGCTAAGTTGAAGAAAAAACAAGAGAAAAAGAAGCAAAAGGTGAAGAGAGGAAGATCGAGATGTAAAGAGAAATTATGGTAAGCTTTAATGGAGATAGTGTACAGTGCACGCTTTTGGATTGCATCTGAATATTTTCGGTAGATATCGCCGTCATTATTTAGCAGAAGAAGAGGAGGGAAACGGAGGTGATGAGATAGAGAGAGAAAGACCGTGCAGCCGGAACCAATAGGAGGTGATTTTCAAATAGGATTTTTTTTTTTTGCAAATTAATGCATATCATTTAAATTTTAATTATTTATAAAACTTATTTTATTTTATTGTATTTTATTCATAAATTATTCACATAAATATTAGAGTTCAATACAAATTAAAATTTAAATTTTTCATTTTTATCAAATAATCAATTATTTAATTATAGTACTTGCAAATGGAAGAATTTGATGATTCATTATTTTAAGATGTAGTATGAGATTTATAAATATATTTTATTTAGATTAATTTTTTTTAATTATTTGGACTAATTTTTTAGGCTTCTAGAATTCCTATAATTGATTTTAAATTAAAAAAATATTTTCCAACTTGAAATAATTTTTAATGGAGATCAATTTTTCAATCAGGATTTGAATGCCCTTAAAAAATAACGTGTTATTAATTTCAATTGCTAATTAAGAATTTCATTAATAAAGTTGGAACTTCACAACAATCTCTGCCTTGCATTCCACCTTTTGTGTCAAGTTTATATTAATTTATTAATCAGCCCCAGCGAAGTACATCTCGTCGGTAATAATTTCAGGAGCCCTGCGTACAATAAATTATGAATTCAATTCAAGTCACCATCATTCCATCGACATCATTATAATCATTACATTCATGACTCTATCAACATTAACACATGACTGATCATATTTATTGATTCATTTATCATTGTCAAGGGAATGATAGTTTAACAAGAATGTAATAAATGATATGTCTGAGATGTCTCAAGCCGTTATATTTTAGAATGATATGAACCTTAAAGACAACATGAGTGATTTTCATTGTAAGGTTCCTTAATATATCAAAATGTCCTTCATTTAAGAAGCTCTAAACATCTAAATTAGACATGATAAGAGTGCTCCTCTCTTTTTTTCATTCTAAGAAGAAACTCCACTAAATTGTTTTTAGTTCATTATCACTTTCAAACTCATTTATGGAATTCAGTTCTTGAAGTCCTTAATAGCTACTAGCTTATATATTTATTAACTCATTTGTTTGTTTGTTGGTTTTGTCTCGCAAAGCTAGTTTATAGCACCAAAAAATTATTATTTTCTATCTAGAAATTGTTAATCAGAATCCCTACTCATACACTAATTTTAAATGCTCTACAATTTTTGGTCTCTTAGAACTCTGAGCTTAAAGACTCAAAAAGTTCATTAGGTTACATCTACAAAGTAAAATTTTAAATCCATATTCCTTATCTATTCATTATGAGCAATGTTGTCTATGATGAACATGACATATAGATTAGATTATACTTGTACATGATAATTATTTTTCTTGACCTCATGAGCCTATGTGATTCATTAGTGATTTAATGAAAACAAATCATACGTGATATATCTAATAGTTTGTAAAGTGTTTAATTATGTTGTTTAAATTATAATAAACATAATGATAATGATAGTATCTCTAGATAAACATAGAGCTTTAACTACTTATAGTTGAACTTGGGTAGAACATTCATGATTACATAATTGAATGATTTATCAAGGTCAAGTTAGTTTAGAGCACACTTAACTTCTATTTTTTTCATTGTTATTTACTTGAAGTATAGTCGTGCCACTTACTGGTTCATTGTATGTATGATATACATTTATATCATAATTAGTCAACATATGATTGAAATCATATTACACTTATATTAAAATTATAGTTCTATATATTTCCATTGCAAATAGTCTTTATAGGATCCTTGGAAGAATAACAACTGCTAAAAGTTTCCACCTGTCAAATTGATGTATTCATTCCCTTTTGACACCCTTCTAAATTTTACAGTGCCTTACTTGTGTAACCAAAAAGAAAATACAGTAAAATTATAAAAGCAATCAAGCCATCATCTTTTTTTCATTAATGATTTAAAATATATAGTGAACTTACCTATAGTTGTTGACTTATTTTCCATCCTTAGAATAGAATGAATTAAAATCTTCTTTCTCATCCTAATCACCTCCTCCTCCTCTTCATCTATAAGAAATAATGACTTTATTGTATGTTTATTGTTACGGTAGTAAATATACACTATTTGGTGGCTCGTCACCATCGAAAATTTTAGCATTACCTAAATAATTTGAAATGCATGCATGGTCATGGTATGATCTACTTAATCTAATTCTTGATATGCTACGTACCCAAACAAAAATAACTTCTATGATATCAAATTATCAATATGTAGGAATGTTGAAGTACTCATAACAATTATTTTGCATACATCACATCAATATTTGAGTCATTTTGATAGATGATTGGTATAATAAACTTTTTGATCCTATTCAATACATATGAATGATTCATGTCACTCATGTCATGCATGATGTGATGCATCCTTCACATCAATAATTCATGGAAATTATCAACCACAAACCCTCCAATTGTGTCAAATCAATCACATTTAAATGAAACCACCACTATACCAATGTAACTCAATTCAATAATCTCCATGAGAATTTCATGATATCTCACTTAAACTAATGAGTACTCTTGTTTAAGAAATTTGAATCCATTAATAGAATAATTATTTTAGGTTGTCACTTCTTTTTTGCTCTAGACTCATAATTAGCTCAATAATCATTCAATTAGTCTATTTCTTAGATTCCTAGAACATAATTTAATGGTAATTATTAAAATTATTCCTAATTACAAATTTAAAGTATTCAAATCAAATAGACTACTTACAAATTATTTTAACCACTCCAAAATTTTATCTTTTCAAGCCTAATAAATTTGTGCATTTGTAGTATTTAGCAATTCTTTTTTGTCTCATGTCATTAAGTATGTTGTGTAGTGAGTTACCAACATGAAATTAGTATGATCGATATCTGATTTATGTATTAAATTTTGTATTAGTTGATTTACTTTAAAAATGACGTGAGCTCTTGATGGGCGCAACATTGGTGTCATGATTGGAGTTAGGTTTGTTGGTGATGGCGAGCATTAAATTTTTTATGGTGGTGAGCGTTGACATTGGTGTTATTGGCGTGCATTATATGCTTGCAGATAGGGCTCTAGATTCTCTCATTATGGAATCATTTTTATCACCTCATCCCAACCTACCCAAATATATGGAAGTATGCCTATTAATTGATAAATGGAGAGTAATATTTTGGTTATGTTCAAAAACCAGAGTATTCTTATTGTTCACTTAATCACGTAATATTTTACAGGCATTTAAGAATAATTTTAAGATTAAGAGATCTCGGGGTCATCAAATTCATCTCGTAAAAATGCACGTATGAACTATAAATTTGCCTAAAAAAGAGTTCACATATTGTTTCTAAATTCGATTTCGAATACTTCTAATTCAAAATTTTGCATCAAGAACGGTGTTTGATCGAATGATTTTTATGGTAGCTTGTCAACCCATATTAAAACAATAAACTTAAAAAGTAAATCTTAAAAACACCTATAAAAATAAATTGTATGAGAAATCAGTTTATGAATTTTCCATGCACAAGCTGTGATCCATATTTTATTTAAAATATGTTCACTTAAACTTTTGGCAATTCAATAAATATAATTACTAATATGCAATATCAAAATTTCAAAATTAAATTTAAGCATATTAATTTCACAAGCCCTATACAATGAACCCACACATAAATTGTTTGGGTCTTGATACAGATGCACTTCCTAATTATTACTGAAAATTCAGTTTTATTCAATACGTTGAACAAAACTCCCACTCATACTTTATTTTACAAACTTTAATAACAAATTTAAAATGTGAGCATTTCATAATATCCATAATAGGAAAAATAGAGAGTTAACAATTTTTTATCTAGAAATAAATTATATATATATATTAAATTAGAGTACAAATGAAATTAAATTTAATTCTAAAATTTTTTATTTAAATTCTTATTTGATCAAATAAATTTGCTTAGGACTTAGCAACTTCTTTAATATAATTCACATTGTTAAGGGAAAGATATATCTAAGGACTATGAAGGCTAAGACTTTTTTGGGATGGCTTTATAAATATTTTCTAAATCAGTTTTTTTGTTCAAAAATTTTTTTACAAGAAAATTATTTTTAAAAGTAGTAAAAAAACAATTCTAAATGAAGCTTTGGAATAATTTTAGGTCACTATTTTTTATTGCTTTTAATAAAAATTTGAATTAAAAAGCTGATTTAAAAAATAGTAAAAAAGTTATTCAAAATAAAATCTAGACTTCATTTGATATAATTTTTTTATTGCTTATAAAGTAAATTTTCAGCATAAAAATTCAATAAAAATAATGGACAAATATGATCCAACAAAGCCTAAGAAAATTATGTAATGAGGAACTATCTTGTATAAATGTAGAAGCTAAGGTACTGTATATCTAAATAAATTTGTTTAAAAGATAGAAAATTACAATGAAGGGCCTAAAAAATTAAAAATTTAAATTCGACTATTTTAATGCAGTTTATTATTACATAAAAAAACAATTTTATATAAAATGTTTGTATTGATAAATATAAAATATTGCTCTGCACGTATGAAGCATTTATTGCTCAGAAAGTTTATATCCAACATTTTAGGCTCATAGATTCTTCTTTAAATTTCTGTTCATTGCGTCACGACAGGCTTTCCCAATCAAATCAAATCAACTCTTTGCCGAGATCAAGATCAGAGTCATCAGACTTTATATTGATCAGAGTCATCAGACTCAGCATTTCATCAAACACCCTATCTTCTATCCAAAAGGATCGGGCCCACCTTAACAATTTATCATCATTATGTAAGAGCTTAGCACAATTTTATGAAGGAGATATTTGGTTTAATAACAAAATATATAATACAAAGAGTGCGATAAAAAAGTTAAAAATATTGTATTATTTAAAAGAAGCTAAAGATTAAGTAGAGGAGAAGAAACAAAGAGATGGAGTATGGAAAAAGGTTAACG